TTTGTTAACGAGTTGGAAAATGTTTGGTTTTATTTCGTTAAAGGTCTGATTCTTGTGTTCACAGTAAACCAGATCTAATGTAAACCAGGTTCTGAAGTTCATCTTCAGATTTTACATTTACTTCAAGTGAGACACGTATACTATCATAGAAAACTGAGTTATAAACAGTTTAGTTAGGAAAATATATCCTGAATTATAAAGAAAATATCCAGTAAATTAGGCTCTATGACATTTATTTTTATTTGTCACATGTCTTAATCATGTCTTGACCTCTGTTTAAAGTAAAAACTACCGTATTTTCTGGCGTATAAGTCACATCAGTCGTCAAGCATCATGAAGAGGGAACAAACTTATACAAGTCGCATTTATTTAACAGTCAACAATGGTGTACCACAAGGCTCAGTCTTGGGACCCACCCTCTTTACAATCTACATACATAATGTAGGTAAAAACATCCCTAATGCATCCATACATTTCTATGCTGATGACACAGTTGTTTATTGTCGAGCTAAAACTGTTGATAAGGCTTTCCAGCTTTTGAAATCTGCATTCAACATCATCCAGGCAGATTTGTTTCGCCTCAAACTTGTCCTAAATGCCGACAAAACCAAAGGGATTCTTTTTTCAAACAGGAAGTCGATCCCAGCAGTTCTTCCTCCGATTTTATCCTCAAATGGTGTCCCCATTGAGTTTGTTGATTCCTATAAATATTTGGGTATCTTGGTCGATTCACGTCTCTCTTTTAAGCTCCATGTGGAAAACTTGGTAAAGAAACTGAAAGTTAAACTGGGTTTCTTTTTCAGAAACAGATCCTGTCTAACCCTGAATGCTAGAAAACGCCTTGTATCTATGACTTTCCTTCCCTCAATTGATTATGGTGACATTATTTACATGAACGCTCCTAAAAGAACCCTGCAGATGTTGGATGCTGCAGATGTTGGATGCTGCAGATGTTGGATGCTGTCTATATCATGGTGCACTAAGATTCATAACAGGCTGTGAATATCGTACCCACCACTGCACCCAGTATTCACTGGTTAACTGGACAT